TGGGACTTACTACATAGTGCTCTCTGAGGATTAAAATAGAGTGGAGCTTGACCTGTGGAAGTGGTACAAAATTGGGTATAAACCCGAACGCCCTGCCTGCTAGGGCCTGGGGGTCCAGGCTGCTGGGAGGAGAGGAGCAGGGTTGTGACCCCACCACGTCCTGTTTTCTGAGTGTACTGGAGCCAGGTTAGTCCAGGATGGGACATGGGCCTGCTTGCTGCCAGGGACCTTGGCCCCACATCTTCTGCCAGCCAGCGGCTGTGGGGTTCTGGAGTGGGGCCAGGGCAGACACCAGTAGTGTCCTGGGGGGGGGCGCTCACGTGGCCCAGCCAGATTTGGGGCCGCCTAGGTCTCTGGCCTGCGGTGTGACCTTGGGGAGTCTGTCCCATCCCTCTGGGCCAGGTGTTGTGTTTGGTGACTTGTGCGGGGGGGCCCCATGCCCATGTGGCCTTTGCAAGTGCACACCCCACAGGGTGGGCCGGGCGGGCTGCACCCCATTCCATGGGGACATGAGCCCCAGGCACTGAGTGCCAGTGCCAGGCCTTGTTCTGAGGGGTACCCTGACGCCAGGAGGCTTCTTATTGTCAGAATCCTCCGTGGGAGCCTGTGGGGAGCATCGGGCAGCGCCTCCCAGTCAGACAGGGCTCCGGCAAAGGCTGCGGGCCCCGGTGCCCTCCCTCCACACGTCATGTTCTAAGTCTGGACAAGTGACGGGCCTTGCTTGCCCTCCACGGGTATTTATATCCCTGGGCCCCCTGCCCACCCTCCCCTCCCCCACAGACACAGGCACTGCTGCTGACAGCAGCACCGCTGTGCCCTCCTCCCCGGCGCCACTGCCACTGCCCGGCTTGCTGCGCCTCCGAGGGGCCTGTGACCACACCCGCTCCCTGTTGGACCCCTGGGCTCCTGCCACTGTCCCCAATGAAGATTGTGCCGGGTAGGTGGGGCAGCCTTTGAAATCCTTGTGAGAGCCCAGCTGGGGCGACGGGCAGGGGGCTCGGTCCTTCCCCCCCCCCCCCCCGGCTCCCTGCTTTCAGGGCCCCTCCCTCCTGTTGTCCTACGTGGGGGGCTTTGGGATTCCGGGGCAGCTCCGCTCACTCGTCTTTGAGAGCTGTTGGGTCAGCTGCACGCCCCTAGGCCAGCAAGGGTTGGGGCCCTGGCATGCATCCCCTCGGCGCTGGCAGCTGTCACCAGAGGGCACCCTTGGAGGCAGAATGGGGTGCTCAGGCAGCACGGTCACCCTCCTGGTGGGG